TTATTCTGTAATGCAAAAATTTGCTAATTCAAATTATTAATTATTTGTCGGGCGCCATGTGTTTTATTTTTCCATTTTTCATATCTAAGAATAATTCGATCTCGCCAAAACTCAATAAGAACCTTATCATTTTGTAAATTCCTACCATGACTCTGACAATTTTGTAATTCCCGAGTAATATGTTGATTTCTATTTCTTTGATTCCTCCAAGCCGTTCTTGCTGTATTGAATTCTATATCCAAAATTTGGGCCTGTCTTAAATTTCGAGCCTGCCATGCAACATGAGTTAATCCTAAGATGCGCAATTTCTGTTTTAACCTGTCATATGTTGACTCACTTTCTGTAATATTTTCATGTGCACCTTGTAAAGATTCTCTTAATTGATAATTTTCTTCTCGACATTCATCTAACCTGTCTTGGGCTTGATCATATAATCTGGTTTTCTCATTTATTTCGGATTGAATAGTTTCATTCTTATCGGTTAAGTCATCAATTTGCTCCTTAAGGGTTTCATTTAATGCACCCAGCTCATTAGTTAACTCCTGCTGATTGCGATTTATATCCTTTAAATTTATAACTTCTTGTCTTAACTGAGTTACTTCGTTTTCAAAAGTATAGCACCCATTTTGGATTTTCGTTAATTTTAATTCTGTTTGGGTTTGAAGATTATCGATTTCATCCCTTAAAAGAGTATTATTACCTCTGACTGAGTCGCCTAAAATTTTAATATTTGCTCTCATCTCTATTATTAAGTTGAAAACTGGTGTATTTGTAGATGGCAGGTGTCTCATATCTAATGCCATTGTTTCTCGAAGTTTTTGGATTCTATATCGAAGGGAAGATATTTCACTAGTCATTTCTATTAATTGCGACTCGAGAGCTGGAATAATTTTATCCTTATTTTCTATATCTTGTAAAGCTTTTTTAAGTCGTGGTTTGAGATTGCCTACCTCTGTTTTTAACAAGATAATGCTTTCATCTCGAATACCAATTTGATTTTCCAAATATGCTATGTGCTTCTCACTTTCTTTGAGCCATCTTTCTAGCTTTTGGATTTTCTGTTCGAGATTATTCATGTTTTTATATGTTATAGTAAAAATGCTTCCAGTTATTTCTATTGACACTAGAAAAGCTCGTGAACTTGATATTAGTATTGACTTACAAAAAATATACTACCATCCTTCCGGATATCAAAGAACTAGTAAAAAACTTTATGATGTTTCACATAATGCCAGATTCGATTTTACATTGGCCGAAGTTCAAGAATGGCTTGAAAGACAATTATTACACTTAATTCATAAACCCAGGCCTAAATTTATTCAATATGCTTCGTTTAATGGCATACGAGATTTAAATGAAGTACATAAATCAGATCTTACACCCCTTTCTCTCGATAAAATTGGTAATCAAATTTTCAAACATAGGGGGGTAATAAAAGATGTGGCAACTAGATTTCGTAAAAGTTGTGCTTTAACTAATAAGTCTTCTGCATCGTTAGCTAAAATGTTTAAAGCAATTTATGAGGATTCTAGTAATCATCTTACATGGCCAAAAGTTTTAATTGTAGATAAAGGTACTGAATACTTAGGTGAGTGTAGAGATTTATTACTTAGTCATGGTGTAAAAATTATACAAGCTAAATCTAAACGTAGCACATCAATAGCGGAACGTGATCATCAAGAATTTGAAAAACATGCTTACATTCATCAGGATGCGGTTGATTTTCTTTTACCTTTATCTGAAAGATGCCGATCATGGGTTAAAGGCCTTCGTTTAAATGATGATATTTATAATGATACTCCTACCTGATTAATTCATATGTCTCCCAATGAAGCTGTAAAGAGAGCATTAAAAGGTGAAAAAATTATTGCTGATCCTTCTGTTAAACATCGAAGGCCTATCGGGTTTGAAGAACCTCGATTAACCTATAAAGATTCTGTTTTATATTTACTTGAACCTGGAGAGTTAGAATTTGGTAATAGACGTATAACTGATATGAATTGGTCTCCCAAAGTTTATCGTATCAAAGAATCCTTAATACAAAAAAATCAACCGGTATTATACTGGCTTATGGATGAAAATGGCGATGGACCTGAGAGATCATTCGTAAGAGAACAACTGATGGTCATTAGAAATGTTAAATATCCACCGAAATGGATCCTTAAACAGTATTAAATTTCTAGACCATGGATTTTTTGAAGAATATCATCTACTTCTTCCTTGGATCTTTTTTCTACAACCTCTTC